TATGAACAAGGCACGAAAAGGAAAAGAATCGGCGACAGGCCACATCAGGCCTACACTTCAGCGCCGACATCACTATGTTATGTTATGTTATGAAACTGATTTTAAGGTGTCGTAACTGATTGACAGTTGTCATAACTGGTTGGCTGATAGCACAACTGATTGGTCCCCGCAGGTCAGTTCCTGTCTGAGACGGGGCGTCACGACGAGGCAGCCAATCACTACGTGGAGGCAGCATCGCTGTCGCCGAGCGAGTACGAGACGACCATCAACGCAGCCAATACGTTGCGTCAGGCGGGACGCAACGCTGAGGCTGAGCGCTACTACAGGGCCGCTGTTGCGCTCCGACCTCAGGTGATTGGCTTTTATCCTACGACTTCAACTGCTTGGTCGTTGTCCTGGGGCCATACTATCAAAAAAAGTTAAGAGATCGTAAGTTCATCAGCCAATCATTGACAACCTTTCAAGCAAAATCCACCAATCATAGACAAGAAAATAGAGCGTAAGTACTAGCGTGACCTGCACCAATCTGCTCAAGAAGGGCGTTAGTGCAGCGTGACCTGCACCAATCTTCTCAAGAAGGGCGTTAGTGCAGCGTGACCTGCACCAACCTGCACCATCAAGTGTTAATGGACATTAACACTTGATGGTGCTTAACAATGTTAGCTCTCTTCTGCGTCCATCCAACGATGGACAAGGATGGACATGGAGGTCAAGGAACATAAATGGGTGCCGCCAAGTGCACCGTACCCAACTGAGGGCATCAGCTGGCCCAACTGAGGGCATCAGCTGGCCCAACTGAGGGGCCCAAACAAACATTCCTGACTGTTTTTAGTAATAGTGAGCAACACAGTGAGCGTTTAAATAAACAATGAGCATGACTATGATCTTGTGAGCACCATAATACAATGAGCAGAACTATGACAGTGAACGTTAGTATAAGCTGGCAAAGGATCAAAATAGAGTTAGGCGTATGGAGGCCATATATGGCTGTTATCATATGTGGCTAAATGTTCTGTTAATTATTTGTTATATCTGTTATTGCTGTAGAAATTGTTTTCTGTTCACTATAAGAACTCTAGGTATTATGAGCGTGGGTAAAAGTCTCGGCACTAACTGTTTGCAGTGTTGTGGTTCTGAGGCTAAAGATGTCATTACACATGGATAATTTTAGTCGATTGTATAGGCAACTAATATTAGCCGATAGTATTAGCGGCTAATTATAGCAATAGACAGTAACATTTTAGCGTTTTTTCTTCGGTGGAAACTTGCCAGAGGCAGGGCGTGAAGTTAACAAAGTTGGAATTTGATGCGCCGGTGAATGGCTAGCACGGTCGTATATGAGCACGTATGTATAGAGCTCTCTAACTTAACGAAATTAATATTATGATGCTGCAAGTTATCACTCCATACTATACAATCTTTAATCCACCCTCAATGTTGAATGACAAAGTATCCTACATCCTTAAAGTAAATACAATTTCGTCACTTGCTGCATCAAAAATTCTTTTGCAATTCACCATCTTTGTCACCTTCCGTATTGTAAACTTGCAACTAGAAAGTTTTTATTGACGTCGTCGCAGATATAGATGAGAATAATATAATAGCGGTTTCAGCGTTTATTAGGCCGTAGGCCTGTCGCCGATTCTTAACATTGCAGAACATCCACAGCTTGTTGCGGGCTTTAACTCGCAACTCACTGCTTCAAATTTTCTTTGCTGAACCGCCCGGCCTCCTTGCCGATTCTGACCAGAAACTGGCGCACAGAGCTGGGATCAAGCCCGCGCCTCTCTGAGCCAATCTTGGTACTCTGAACTTAGCCACTGGGCCACCCTGCCATAAGTAACTAAGAGAAGTAACTTAAAGCCGGTAAAACGATAAGCTGATAGCATTAGCCGCTAATATTATCGGTTAAGTTGTCCCTGTGTACGGCAGCTCAAGTTTAGCTGTGCAAGTTTAGGCTGTACTTAAGTTTAATTTTTTTGTGGCCAACGGCTGCGCCTCCTGCCTCTCCACTGACACTAGCCGTGTTGTTGTGGTGAACTAATAGTGGTAATGGTGAAACTAGTGGTAGTGATGTAACTGGTGTTAGTTTAACTAGTATTAGTGGTGTAACTAGTGGTAATGGATGATGTATAATCATCGCTGTGTCAGTGCTGATGGCGTGCCAAAGAGCTTAAATGCCGTAGCATTAATTCCATAGGACAATTTCACCTCTGACTTTTACTCACTCTATTACTTGCCCTCTTTTTCTCCCTCTTACTCGCCTGAGCTCTAAACTTCCTCGTGGCCTCGACCAGCAGAGGCGCTGAGGCCAAAAATCGCCAAAAAGGCAAAAAATTACGCACGCCAGCAACCGATTAACTCGATGTTAAATTGATCTTTCCTCGTATCGATTATCTTTATCAATACTGAACAAAACTTTACGACACTCCATTACTAAGCAATACAGAGCAAGTGTCCAGACTCGTACATTACTAAGCAATACTGAGCAAGTGTCCAGACTCTTACATTACTAAGCAATACTAAGCTAGTGTCCAGACTCGTACATTACTAAGCAATACTGAGCAAGTGTCCAGACTCGTACATTACTAAGCAATACTGAGCAAGTGTCCAGACTCGTACATTACTAAGCAATACAAGATTTGCCTTTCACTTGACGAGATCGTGAAGATAATAGAATGAATAAGATTGTAAATGGTATCTAAGCGAAGAAAATACTGATTAATGAATTGGTGAATGTGAAGCGACTGTAGCAAGCTTGTTGTATAGCTTATTTATTCATCGTGAATGTTCATTGTCGTGTGGTGGATGTTAGGTGGTGATGATTGTTTTTGTTAGGTGTGTTGTGTGAAGCAACTTGATACGTTGTCCCTCTGTTATCCTATTTTGCTGTCATCAATAAAACGTTGCTGTTATCTACCATGCATTTCATTTCCCTACAGGCTGCGTGGCTAACTACAGACTATTATTTTGATCCAATCTACAGGTTATTTACGCATTAGAAAAACAACGGACCAGTTTTTTCGTTGAAATCTGTAGACCTTTGATGAGTAGAAAACTATAGATCAATTCATCTTAAATCATTCCAGGTAGATGTAAAAATAGCCGTAAATCGTTTATAAAATATGAATGAAAAGTGAATTGCAGCCCAAGCGAGCAACATGCAGTTCAACGGGACCAAGTTTGAGGTTCTGAGATACAGAGGTAGCGGAAGAGCTGGTATGGAGCACCGCTACCTAGCACCTGACAACTCGCAAATCGAAGAGAAACAACTTGTTCGTGATCTAGGAGTGTTGATGAATACTCAGGCCAATTTTGGTGATCATGTAACGGCAATAACCGCAAGAGGTAGGCGACAGATGGGGTGGATCTGGCGGACGTTCAGAACGAGAGAAGCGGAACCGATGATCACACTCTTTAGAGCCTGTCTCTTATACACATCTTATTTGTTATATCTGTTATTGCTGTAGAAATTGTTTTCTGTTCACTATAAGAACTCTAGGTATTATGAGCGTGGGTAAAAGTCTCGGCACTAACTGTTTGCAGTGTTGTGGTTCTGAGGCTAAAGATGTCATTACACATGGATAATTTTAGTCGATTGTATAGGCAACTAATATTAGCCGATAGTATTAGCGGCTAATTATAGCAATAGACAGTAACATTTTAGCGTTTTTTCTTCGGTGGAAACTTGCCAGAGGCAGGGCGTGAAGTTAACAAAGTTGGAATTTGATGCGCCGGTGAATGGCTAGCACGGTCGTATAT